GGTCTCCTTTGCAGGTTCGTTGGGTTTGGAAACATTCCCGTCCTTTCTCTTCCTTTTTTCCTCTAGACCTCTCTGGCTTGTCAAACGTGTGGTCTCTGAAATTGCATGCAACTGAGTAGTTTGGAAAATATTTAAGTTATGATTTTATGTATAATATTACCACAAGCAAATTTCTTTGTATTGAGAATAAAATATTAGGGCGTAGATTCTCAGAAATAGTTTATCGGAAGCTTCAATTTCACTTCATCCATTGGGTTATTTTATGACTGACAAATCTCTCCACACCACGCTCTCTTCCTCGCCCTGAACCTCCATCTGCTCAACCTCCTCCTGGGTGGGCATGGATACGCTATGGGCCGTGAGGTCTGCATATGAAAACCTCTGTAAATGATAAAAGCAACCATTCTTGTTGTTGCTACCGTTTTCACACACAATCACAAGGCACCTTTAAATGTAAACACTTTATAATTAAAAGGATACTAAGGGGCGCGGTGGGCGAGCTGGCTAAGGCGCCAGGCTAGAGATCCAGCGGGCACGAGGCGCCGGTACCGAGCCCCCTGTGACTGGGTGTAAAACCTTGGAGTCAACATTGTGTGCAGACTCTTTTAGAGTTGTCACAAACCGCTAGTGTACAGTACACAACCCTGTGCACTTAAAAGAACCCACGAATCCGTTGGTATATGACCACATGGTGGCCGCGTGAATACGTGCAAACACCAAGTTGCAGGTACAGCAACGTGCAGTAAACTTGGACAAAGTACACCACCCAGCTGTGAATGGGAACCTCGTAAGGATGGGAAAGTCGCAATAACTGCGCAGGGGAGTTGAGATAAGAAGATGTGCCGTTAAGATTGACATCAAATGATCGAGGGAAAAAATATCAGCGCCTTGAGCATGCACTATTGCGTGGGTATGTGCGCTATATAAATATCCTATAATAATATGAATATTTCAACAGAAAGCTACACACAAACAAATGAACAAATCTTAATTAAGAGAACATGGCAGTTGTGACTCTTGATGTAGATTATATAGAGTATAATATACGAGCTCAGGCTTAATACTCATTTCTGTTAAATGAGTGAATGATTTGGTATCAACGAGTGGAAGCCATCTTGAAGCTAAATCTGTCAGGGGTTCCATAAACATGCTATTACACGGGGCAAATTTAATATTCTTTTACTGCCCTCGCAGAATGAATTTAGTGAAACCGCTGACAATGTGATAATTCTCAGCTATAGGTGAGTAAGACACGATCTAGCACAATTCAGACGATGGTATTAGCATTGTGATGTAATATTGTTCGCGGTATTAAGCAATGTGTAATAACATCGCAGATTCATTAAACGGTGGTATTTTCACCAGGAGAGTCATAAACGATGAATATACACTTACCGATCAGGGTTCATCCTGGCATCTAACAACTCAACAGCTACACCCATTGCTGTTTTGATGTCAACTGGTCGAAGCACTCCTGTGTCCTGTGGATCAGTGTCCTGGAAACTGGCAAAACGTTTTCAATGTCATGGCTATCAATAGCTCGCACGTTGTAACTCCCTCTTTTTGTAAAGGGGAACAACTGTATCCTCCTTTCAATACCAGTTAGTAAACCCCTCGTAGAGGACAACTGTGATATCCTTTATGTGAGAGAACCATATGGGGAAACTGGGCAAAGTTTACACCTTGAAGGAGCCATTCCCTTAAAGCTAGGCGAACCAGACAGCGTTCTTTTATAGAAATGCCGGGTTCATCCTCTGCATGGTCAAGGCAGCAAACTGAAATCTGTGCCTTTGAGCGTGCGAAAAGTCTCCCTGAAAGTAACTGAGCTAACGTTTGGTTTATGCAGGTATCACACATGTGTCTTTGAATTCACACTTCACAGTAAAATAGGACAAGTATCTTTAGAAAAGTATTATGACCAACCCGTACACCAACTGTTTAGAAAATGTGACAAAACCCTGCAGTGTATGCCAAACCAACCCGTACACTAACAGCATTGACCGACGTTGGCAAACGCATTTCTATGGCCAAATGCAGTAAGTTGGCTCAACGATACTGTATTCCCCATGTAGCAGAGTTTCCCCTACAATTATGAGTGGTGACGGTTTCCAACTGTCGCTCGTTATCAGAAAGAATCAATAATATACCAAGTTTTGTGGGAATCTGAAATTCAACACGAAAAACCTGACAATTTATCTATGATAATGCACATAATAGCTTGAGTTCATAGGATCCTATGATAGAAATGTATTCCAATGAATGTTGTTAACCTCAGCTGGCATTAAAACAACACCTTACTAAACTCCTTGGGAAAAACGGGTGGTAGTCGCCGAGTGGCCGCCATGTTCGAATTTGACCAATCCGGAATAACAGTGACCAACCCCACACTGCCGGAGCTCAATGGACGGTGTGAATCTGGATACACTAAAGGGACAATTGTTGTTATTATCAAAACAATGGTCTGCAAATCAGTGTATAACTGTAACGTATCTTTTACAACCTTGTAAAATCTTCCAGGGTATACATCTCGAATCTATTTAGCAATGACTTTTAAAGAGATCATAAGACTTTTGTGTTTTGAGCTGGTAAATGTCCTGCACTGGGAAGGAATCGAAGTGATGTGAGCTAAATACATATTACTAGTTCTTTATACAGGATATGTACCATGCCAAACACATACATTGCTGCTAGACACTCACATATTGGTGATATGGCAGTTGCGTGATAATATCCCCCATGGTTTTCGCCACTAAAGTTATAAGTGTCTGCTTTAATCTTTAAATAAAGCACATGAATGAAAAATAAGTTATTGTGTATAGGCAGTATTGAGCTCATAAGATACGCATATTATAACTCGTGTGTATATAGGACGAATCTTTTGCAATCGAGTGGCTATTGTGTAGGCAGGTAGCACTACCAACTGTTAGTTACTGGTTGCAAACCATTGCATTAAAGTGCCAATGTAGCCTCTTGAGAGGCATTTAGAAGTTGGTGTTCAAGTAAAACGCAAATATTATGGATGACAACTTCTTCTTTATTCAATATCACAACGTTTCTGGGCTATTCCTTGCCCCTTCGTCAGGGTGAATTGTAACAAGCAAGTTACATCAATGAGTATATATACTAAATGTACAAAAGCCAGTGTTGTATGTATATACAATAAAATTTGATAAGAAAGGGATGGTATTTTTTTCATGATTTCCTAAACAACCATATGCCAGAAACGATTTAAGTACTCGGGATTATGTCTATCAAAGTACCACAATCATTACGCGCGTCCTGACTGGTTTGTTTTCGCACATATAACGTCCATTGAGAGGGGGACGGGTCTTCTCGGAGGTTACGGAAAGGGTCGAGTGGTGACGAATGGGTAAGGGAGCTAAATTAAGCATAAACCTTCTTAAAACTGGAAATCAATTGTTCACTGATAAATTAGATGTTGCTGATGAACTGGATGAAACTCTTGCAAAAACATTCTTAATCGTGGACCTATACATTCCAAACCCCAAAAAAAACAAAACAAAACAAAAAACCCCAAAACAAACAAACAAAAACAAACAAAACAACCCCCGAAACCCCGAAATACAAGCAAAAATAAAACAGCAGGAAAAAGATGACTTTTACTTTTCATTAAAAGTTGTTTCGAATTGGGGAGCTGACCAGTCAACCCTGCTTCATTTGTATAGAGCACTAATCCGTTTAAAGCTTGATGGTAGATCCATCGTATATAGTGGAACCTGCAAAAGCAACCTTAAACTTGTATATTTCATCCACTATCAATGTCTTAAGCGTCATTCACACTGAAGACTAAAGTTTGACAACACATGTCTCTATTAGTCAGTCTGTGTTTGTAGGTCGATTTTACCAGTCGACCAAAACATCATGTGACAATTTCGTTGACAGTGATTGGTTGTTTCTGAACAACACGAGTTTGACAACACTTTACGCGTCAAACTCGAGTTTGACAACACCCAAAATTAGATGGAAAAGTTAGTGAGAAAAGAGACCAATCATACTTTTCTGGACAACAGTTTTACAACTCTGTAATTGGGGTTGGTGGTGAGTTGTTGAAATGTTCACACTCTTAAACTCGAGTTTGACAACATGTGTTTCGTTGACAGCGATTGGTTTATTTTTCCGTGACGGTCGCTTTAGACTTTGTCTTGGGTCGTTCAGAACATCACCCATTGCGATTCTTGAGAAACCATGTTGGGGCCGACGAGCCATCTCTTAACCAACGCGTACGTAAGTCCCAAAACTTTCAAAGTAAAATGTAAATTTACCACATTTTAATCGTAGTATTTTTGTTCTTTTAACTTCCGGCTACATTTTCCTACAATCGCCAGCTGCTGAAGGGATGGTGTAAATCCAGCTAGGGTCCATGCGGGTAGCAAAGGTACTGTAAGACCCATGGTCCCTAGTATGGTGAACTACCTTCAGTTGCTGGTGATCTATAGCCTATTTTTATATTGTGTTGTCCTCTATAGTTAAAATGTTTTAGATTTAATTACTAGTTTTACATTTATATCTGTGATATTTTTAGTTGTTTTACTGTCCTTCGTTGACAGGATTTTATACTCTCTCTTTAATTATTGTTAATATATATGTTGTTTTAGTCACGATATGACTGAAATATTGCCAAAGTTTTAACTCACTCAGTCACTCACTCACTCTTAACCAACGCCTTCTGAAATTATCTTTATAATACATCACAAAACTATATTCAAAGGAATCCAAGCCTGCGTTCAGCTGCGCTTTTACTCCTCGTTGTGAGGATCATTCATTTCTGCTGCCAGCATTGAGCTGGAAAATATATCTCCTTCTCGACTTCTTTCTTCTCCTCCTTGGCAATTGGTTAGGCCCCAAGTCGACCTAAAATTAACCACATTTAAAAAACCCCAACTAATTAATTACGATCTAAACAAGAATTTAATCAATTAAAAACGAAATATAACACATATAAATCCTTATTTACAGATGGGTCCAAGAATGGTGGCGCAGTTGCTTGTGCCACTGTCATTGGATCCAGAAGAATATCTTCTCGATTACCAGATCACAGCTAATTTTTTACAGCCGAAGCAAACACCATATTAACAGCCTTAAAATATATTGGAAAACAACCTAAACATAAAGAATACATAATCTTTTCTGACTCTCTTTCGTGCCTTCAGGGGATTCAAAATCTTAGTAACGTCCACTTTTAATTGAACTAATTGAATTATATAATGAACTTGCTGCTGGCCAATACGACATCGTCCTCTGTTAGTTACCCAGATATGTTGGAATTTCTGGTAACACAATGGCCGATATTGCTGCTAAGTCAACCCTCCACACATCTGTGACACCACTTCTTATTCTATACTCTGATTACAAAGCTACCATTAGATCTTATATCCGTGATCTAATGAAAGAAGTGGGACACCCAAGTACGTATCAATAAATTACATCAAACAAAGCCAACTATCGGTTACACCTACTTGGGTTGTCAGTCCAGATTTGAGGAGGTCATTATGCGACGATGTCTGATGTGTGTTTGTCGCCTATCAGGTCAGTGTCCGGCGTGTCGGGCGTGATCCGATGAGGTGAAATCGTCCGATGAAGGAACTAAGCTCAGAGCTTAGTTTGCCATTGGACGCTCTTTCCGGTCTCAAATCGAGTCAGTGTCGGATGAATGTCGAGTCAGTCCGATGTGTGTCAGATTCGTGTTGTGCAACTATCGGACGTGTCCAGCCAACGTCGGACGGCAATCTGATAAGTGTCCGATGAATAACAGTTATCTGACGCTCATTCGCTTGCAGTCTGCGGTGTGCCCGACGGTCCTGATAGTCGCCCATCACCAGTTCCATTCTCCTCGGAGGGTAACATGATATTTAGCACCGTCCGATTGCTATCCGGTGTAACATCGGAGGTAATCACTCATTAACTCAACTGTCATCTGACATATCGCATAGCAAGCGGTGACATCTGACGGCCAACGGACTACAAAGGGAGGGTAGGCCGACACTAACCCCGCAGAGTTTCACCGGACACTACAGAACCAAGATCTTGAAGATGGGTCCAAGAAAGAACAGAAATGTTCGAGGACACAAGGCAAAGAAGCGACCTCCCATTCTCCTGGCATGATGTTGTGGTTTGCATCTCTGCATCCATCTGGCCATGGTGCATGGCTGGAGTGTCGTATTAGGATCAGGTTGTGGAGGCAGACACAGGTTTCTATGATGTTACGCACAACATCAGGTTGCTGCTGTAATAAAAATCCTTGAAGACACTGGGATCTAGCTGCCAGTATTCCGAAAGCGTTCTCCACGACTCTTCGGGCTCTACTTATGCGATGGTTATATTTCCACTCTGTAAGAGTCAAGTTCTTTCTCGAATATTCGATTCATCATGCGGGTTCGCAAAGCAAAATCGTCATCACCAATCATGAAGTTTGGCATGTTATGGTTGTCACTGGTCATTGGCTCAGGTGGGGGAATCCTATTTGACCTCTCTCTGGAGGTGCCACATGCTTCCCATCAAGTGCCCCATTACATGTGGAACGTTCCAAAGCCTCTCGTATTCTTCAGCAATTGCTACCATTCTTGTTCAGTGGTGGGACACTGGATCACTTCATCAGCATACACATCCACTATGGCTTGATGACAGATTTCGGGGATAAACTTGCAAATGGTTTCTCGAGCAACCCTGAAGCTGTATGACAGTGATGGATACTGATCGCCAGCTGTAAGGTGCCCCTCAGAAAGTACACACATGCTGTCCAGTAAAGTGATAAAGTGACTTCAAAATGATTGGCGTGCGTCTAGGCAGATATAAATACCGTTGCCCATGCTTTGCATGAATTTGGTCCCCTATACTTTGCAGCTTCTCACTGTGTGTATTATGTTTTTGACGTTATTTTCTATAAAACAAACGTTCAATTGTTGTATATTACCAATTCACAAATGATAGCGTCAAAGACAACCATGTGAAATATGTGACAACGTTCGGTGCAAAATAACAAATTAGTTGATTTCATTTGAGGGAAAGACATAGAAAATATATTGCCCGATTAGTCAATCAAATGCTGAGCATAGCATTAAATTCTACTTGTTGTAGGATGAGCAGTATCCAAGTATGACGAATCCTCGTATTGTACTGGTTTCAGGAACCTCCGTAAACACTGCAATCAATACAGATACCAATTTAATAACTTTTGTGAATTACTGACTTTAAACGTATCTTTTTACAAACATTAAATCAGTGTATTCATTTGTGATACAACCACTAGGCAGGATAGAATTCATGTCATACTATGTACGTTAAATGTTAGTTTCCTTAGTCTGTCACAAAACATCGTCAGTTTGAGTTAGTTCAGTGACTATACAACTAGATGCTAGAGGCTTCCTCTGATTAATGCGTCATGCTTTCTTCATCAAGAGTATAGTGTTAAGTATCCGAGTCTGTTACGATCTACCCAGGAGGCATAACAAACGGTCGGATCTGTAAATCAGACATTTCCGATTCCGTGTTAGTGGTACTAACCTCCTGTCGCTGTAGTGTCCATGCAGACGTGTGAAGTGTTAATACCATGGCCATATATCATGTGTGGCAGCTGCATCAGGTGAATGTCTCCACATCCACCAATATCATGTTGTAGGAGCTATCATCTGTCGTAGATAGTTCCTGTAGCGCCCTAATGACTATATTCAGCCCTGAACGACGTAGGGCGTCCACTATTGAGTCCATGTTGCCAGGAAATTAATATTGATGACATGGTTGTATCGTTCAGGGCATATACTGTGTGAGTTTCTCAAGGTGGATCTTTGAAAAATAACATCGCAAACACTGACATGTATTCACATGAAGAAGATATAACACACAAAAAACTCCCATGTATTTGTGGAAAGATCTGACACAAGAGTGTCAGTTACCATTAGTGACATTACTAGTCCAACACTTCAAGGGTTAACATATGTTGCAATTAAGCATTCCATTTCATTTAGATTTGCACCCTTGTCTAAAGGTTTGCCTGCGTGGACTAGGTTCTCATTTTAACCAAAGTATGTCTGCGCCGTTATACAAGTCATGACTTCCCCAGCAAGCCAAACAGCTATCATTGTTCGTCCTTTCATGTCCAGGAATTATCTAATTCAGGGCTTGTCAGCTCTCTTCCACGAGATATTACTGGGACTTGAGTGCAACTATCACGCACGATCTCGCACTGAGGCAGACTTTAAACAGTAACGGCGGCGGAGTAAATGGAAATCACACGAATCAACAGAACAGAACACACTACATATCTAACTGTAATAACCTTTTTCTTATTGACATCGATAACATACAATTATTCGCAAGGGACATATGTAACTGGTTTTAATTACGTTAAATTTCAATCAAATATAACAGTTTATGGAATGGGTACGTTTCTCGCAGATTATCCAGTGGATAAAAACAATCCTCTTCCGTCCTATACGGATACAGACGCAAATATGGTCACTACTAGCAGCTTTATAAACAAACATAGAGTCACCCTTGCCACTGGATGATCGTGTCAGATTTAACCATCAGGAATCTGGATACTCAACATGGATAAATGCTGTTATTGTGGTCTGCAAGTCAGTGTCTAACAATGAATTATATTTTACATACTTGTACATCTTCGTGGATATACATCTCGAAACTATATATTTAGTAAAGACATTATTTGACGATAAAGAGGTTACAAGGCGTTTGTGTTTTGAGTTGGTTAATGTCCTTCATTACGAGTCGGAGCGAGGGCGAGCTAAATACATATTACTATAGTCTGTTTGCAGTGTAAACGTACCGATGAATTTCACTTTAAACAAAACAGTAAAATCAAATTAAGTGAAATTAAGATTGCGAATCCTCTTAATTTTACCTTGCCAAATGAACATTTAAAATCTCTGAATCTTATTCAACTTAGGATAAAGTTGTTTAACAAACGATCATAGATTCAAATTGCTATTATTGGTTTGTATGACAAGGGAGTAAGCGCAGTACACGGAACAGTGAAACAAATGCACGTGTGGTACGTGATGAGCGTTAACATAGACCAGCCCTACTTGTTCTCGGTGTTTCATCTAATGTGGTTACCCCTTGTAATACAAACCAATAAAAACGATTTGAAACCATGATCGTTTGTTAAACAACTTTATCCTTAGTTGAATAAAATTCTGAGATTCGAATGTTCAATTGGCAAGGTAAAATTATGAGGATTCGCAATCTTAATTTCGCTTTAATCGATTTAATTTTTGCTTAGCGAGAATTTCATCGGTACGTTTTCACTGCAAACAGACTATAGTTCTTAATACTGGATAGGTACAATCCCAGAACACATGCACTGCTTCTAGACACTCACACATAGTTCAGTGATAATATTTCCCATGGTTTATGTCACTAACGTTTAAAGTGTCTGTTCAAACCTTTAAAGAACGTCAGAGCAACAGAATACGTTACTGTGCATAGTGTATTGAGCTCATGTTTCATGATTTAAAATATATCATAACTCTGGTGCATATGCTTAGGATCTATCCGCAATCGTGAAGCTATTGTGTATGCAGGAAGCACTACCGCTGTCAAATGTAGCCCCAAACCATACATTACCGAAATGTACAATTTCGTCGCCTGAAAACCAGAGTGTACTAAGTCACCAAAAACTATTTTCGAGAAAATCGATCTAGAAGTTTAGGACAACAATATATTCTAAACTATTCAATCGAATTCTTTGGAATTGTTTGCATGTGACATGTCAAACAGTTTCAGAAAATAGCAAATTATATCCTCAATCTATTAAAATAATTAAGAAATCCACGAAAAATGATTGAAGTTAGAACCTTGACCAAAGAAAATCGTGATTTTTCTCAAAACCAAAGTGTGCTAAGTGTCAGGAAACACAGCCAAATATCAGCCTTACTATTATTATATGGATATTTGATTCTTATTTCTTTTTACCAGGTTGTAGTTTTGTTGTTTAAACCTTTTTTGACTTTCATACGGACTACACTTAATAAAATAAAGCAGAAATAAGAACAGAGTTAAAATGTTCCATTCATGATGAAAATCACTTCGAAACTTGTAAAATCTCAATACCACATGATCAAATTGTGCTTGCTCATTCGGCAATAGACAACTTATAACACTCGAAAACTAACAGCATGTGATTTTTCATGGACAGAGAACAAAGTTTGTGTTTGAAAACCATTTTCAAAGCTAGATATCAGTGTAAAGTTGCCAGAGTAACACATTTTGCTCTAAAACCTACCCCCGAGCATACTAACTCTAATTGTCAAACGTGGACTAAGAACCCCCTGGTTTTCAGGCGACGACTTAGTTAGGAGATGAAACTGTGATTGATATCTTTTCTTGTACCTCTGACATGCACTACCTCCTTACACGGTCTCACCACTAACCCGTCACACAGTACTTCCTTGACACGGTATGCTACGTTAAGTCTCACCACTAATTCGTCACTCATCACTTCTGTGACACGGTATACTACCTTAAGTCTCACCACTAACTCGTCACTCATTACTTCCTTGACACGGTATACTGCCTTAAGTCACACAACTAACTCGTCACTTCTATTTTCCTTGACAGCAGTTAGCTGTGATGCACTAAGGATGCCAGTCCATCCGGGGATGGACACAGCTTCAACACAAGACAGATAGACTCACCCCATAGTGGGAACTGTGTAGCTGCTATTCGCCTCCGTCGCCCGCTCCCTCTACTCGTGTTAAAGGTATTTTTTACTTGGTTCGAGTCTGACCTGATCTTGACCACATGTTCCCATACCTCGTCTTAATTCGTTAACTATATCTGACTCTGAAGTCATGTGTGTCGCGATTGGAAATATAACGGAGATCACTGATCGGTGACTGATCCCTTTGCAACTGTTCATTGTTGGTTTAACGTAATTGGTAATTTGTTCTGTCTCTAATAGTGACTGTGTTCTTCACTTGCCTAGCGAAACCTACGACACAAACACATCTAGCTATTGATCTACCTGTAACTGGCGACATTCTGTTTCCATTGCTTTCCCAACCTTAAAAGCACTCATGAGAATAACCGCAAATCTATATAAGGATTCTGATGTAATTTTCTTGTGTGGGTTTAGGATGCATTTTACCTTGTAACAATACTATGACACACCGTCAGTGCAAGGCAGTGTTACTCTGCATAGGAGAATCCCTACTATGACACACCGGAAGTGTAAGGCAGAGTTAATCTTCACAGATGCATCACTACTATGACACACCGACGGTGTAAGGGCATATGTTAATCTGCACAGGAGAATCACTACTATGAGACAAAGACGGTGTAAGGCTGTGTTAATCTTTACAGGAGAATCCCTATTATGACACACCGTCAGTGCAAGGCAGTGTTACTTTGCATAGGAGAATCCCTACTATGACACACCGGAAGTGTAAGGCAGTATTAGTCTGCACATGAGAATCACTACTATGACACACCAACGGTGTAAGGCTGTGTTAATCTTCACAGGAGAATCACTACTATGAGACACCGACGGTGTAAGGCAGTGATAATCTTTACAGGAGCATCACTACTATGACACACCGTCAATGTAAGGCAGTGATTATCTTTACAGGAGAATCACTACTATGACACACCGACGGTGTAAGGCTGTGTTAATCTGCACAGGAGAATCACTACTATGAGACACCGTCAGTGTAAAGGCAGTGTTAATCTTTACAGGAGAATCACTACTATGACACACCGTCAGTGTAAGACAGTGATAATCTTTACTGGAGAATCACTACTATGAGACACCAACGGTGTAAGGCACTGTTAATCTTTGCAGGAAAATCACTACTATGACACACCGTCAGTGTAAGGCAGTGATAATCTTAATGGAGCATCACTACTATGAGACACCGTCAGTGTAAGACAGTGATAATCTTTACTGGAGAATCACTACTATGAGACACCAACGGTGTAAGGCACTGTTAATCTTTGCAGGAAAATCACTACTATGACACACCGTCAGTGTAAGGCAGTGATAATCTTAATGGAGCATCACTACTATGAGACACCGACGGTGTAAGGCAGTGTTAATCTTTACTGGAGAATCACTACTATGACACACCGACGGTGTAAGGCAGTGTTAATCTTTACAGGAAAATCACTACTATGAGACCCCGTCAGTGTAAGGCAGTGATAATCTTTACAGGGGAATCACTACTTAGGCTCACCATTAGGCTCTAATTATGAAGTCACAATGTTTGCTGAAGTGATTACCACAATTTTAAACCGACAAGATAAGCAGCCTGTAACTGCAGAGGTAATGGAAGATATTCGTGGCCTGGGGGTTCTACGACTCATCAGTTTCTATTGAGAAGAATATATTGACCGTCTGACTATGCAAAAGTTGAGTATTAAGAAAACACATATAAATGAAACCTGTTCGAAGCATCAACACAATATTTATTTTGCATTGTGTGTATACCGTTGAAACTCCCAAATCTAACAAAATAATGTTTGCACAATGCATGGCCGTCTTGTATTTTAGATAAATTCTAGCAAAGTATCAAATAGTATTTGTAAATGAAGAGGTAAATACTCTACATACTATTTATGTATGTGCTGTCTGTTGGGTAAGACAAAATACACGTATTCGTCTAGGTAAAGAAGGGCAGACAGTTGTGGCGGTATAAACACAATGACAGCATCCAGTCACCATGCTGCACCTCAGTATACAACCCAACGGTGTCTGCCTTACACAGTATTCAGTCATCATGCTGCACCTCAGTATACAACCCAACGGTGTCTGCCTTACACAGTATTCAGTCACCATGCTGCCCCTCAGTATACAACCCAACGGTGTCTGCCTTACACAGTATTCAGCCACCATGCTGCACCTCAGTATACAACCCAACGGTGTCTGCCTTACACGGTATTCAGTCACCATGCTGCACCTCAGTATACAACCCAACGGTGTCTGCCTTACACAGTATTCAGTCACCATGCTGCACCTCAGTATACAACCCAACGGTGTCTGCCTTACACAGTATTCAGTCACCATGCTGCACCTCAGTATACAACCCAACGGTGTCTGCCTTACACAGTATTCAGCCACCATGCTGCCCCTCAGTATACAACCCAACGGTGTCTGCCTTTACACAGTATTCAGTCACCATGCTGCACCTCAGTATACAACCCAACGGTGTCTGCCTTTACACAGTATTCAGCCACCATGCTGCACCTCAGTATACAACCCAACGGTGTCTGCCTTACACAGTATTCAGTCACCATGCTGCACCTCAGTATACAACCCAACGGTGTCTGCCTTACACAGTATTCAGTCACCATGCTGCACCTCAGTATACAACCCAACGGTGTCTGCCTTACACAGTATTCAGCCACCATGCTGCACCTCAGTATACAACCCAACGGTGTCTGCCTTACACAGTATTCAGTCACCATGCTGCACCTCAGTATACAACCCAACGAATGCCATTACGACTGTCAATTCAAAACCCTGAGTGTTATCAGATCGCATACAAGCGAACATGCCCCACTTTGCTTAAGTGAATACCTTCCTCATTGTGTTATCTTGGGATACTAAAACCAACACACCGTGTCACGGACCTTGGCTTACAATGTGCACATGTAGTTGTGTTCAAAACAACAAGAGCAAGATAAGACTCACTATCACACTCGACATGACATACAAGCGACACAATAGATAAGGGGCCAATTATTAACTGCAGTATTCTGTTTCCTCAAACATCCACCTCATGATCACAGCACTGCATTAGCCGATGGTTTGAAGTTATCTCACTGTTATAAATATACAATATCGTGTAAAATATACACAACACAATGGGTTGGGTTAAACGTGGTTTGACGGATAGGATTCCCATGCGGTCGCTCGTTACTTTCATTGGTGTGCGATGATCACCCCGACATTATGACCCCCCGACCTTCCCTCCACCAATATGTGTGTGTGTGTGTGTGTGTAAATATATATACACACACACACTTCTCTCTCTCTCTCTCTGTGTATATGTATATATATATATATATATATATATATATATATATTACTACTGCACTTCACTTCACTTCAATAAAAACAACTGACCTAGTCCCATAAAACTGTACTGCATATCCTTATCACATGGTGGTAATACCCTTTCCATGCAAGAGAATAGCGTGTCATGGTGATCCGCCGATAGTCATTTAATTACGTCATAGATGCATAGGTAGTTCAGTGAGACATTTGGTTCAATTATACACTGTGTGACTGAGTCTGACTGACTGACTGACTGAGTTTGGTTTTACGCCGCTTTTAGCAATATTCCAGCAACATTACGGCGGGGACACCAGAAATAGGTTTCACACATTGTACCCACGTGGGGATTCGAACCCGGGTCTTCGGCGCGACGAGCCAACGCTTTAACCATTAGGCTACCCCACCGCCCCGACTGAGTCAGATATACATCACGCCTACAGTATTGTTTTACCATCTTGTAACTCTGTCAAGTTATACGACACTTCAATCATACAGAAAGTTATAAAAAATACCTTTTATCTAAATTGTGATAGTCTGAAGGATCCTAGAATATACGTGAAGTTGGTAATACCAGGGCGTAAAACCGACCATATTTATTTTACAGTCATGAAGTAAACACGAGTTATTTAGTGTGAATCATTGTTATTTCTTATGTGAAGCCACCAAGCAAGATAAATAAGACGCTCACAGACAACAACATTGAATTGTTTTAATAATAATGATAATAATACTTTATTTGCCAGAAAGGGTATTTATTGTACATCAGATGCTGTGATACATAAAGGCAATAAATAGAGCATGCAACAATATTAGAATACAAAACAACACATGTACGCTATGACATGACACACACACAAGTATCTTGGTTTAGAATTGCGATGCTGGCTGGAAGAAATGAGTTTGATGCCCTGCTAGTTCTGAACAATGGCGTTTGGACGCGGCGTCCGGAAGGTAGAAGTTTATATTCATTATGAAGAAAGCCTTGAATAACAGTTTTGTAATATAAGACAAATGTGGAAGAATTGACATCAAAAGATTTGAGTTTCCGCTAAGAGTACATGCTTTGTTAGCATTTTTGTAGATTCTGTCGGTGTTCGCAGTAAAACCGGGCTTTCATCAATGATGGTGCCGCAATATCTGATAGCCTTTCTTAAGCGACATATGAAACTAAATGTTTTTATGACTGATTTTAAATATGAACACAGGAAATATTTTATGATGTTAAACGACATTTTTATTTCACAGATATATGGCGGCGGTCTGTAAATAATAGAGTCTGGACCAGACAATCCAGTGATTAACAGCATGAGCA